GCTCCACCGGAGCTTCATTTCGGCACACCACTCTCGACGATCGCGGCACTGCCTTCGCAGGGAACCCCACCGAAGCTTCATTTCGGCACATCCCTCTTGAGGATCGTGGCCCTGGCCCCACAGGGAGCTGGACCGACGCTTCATTTCGGCACAACCCTCTCGAGGTTCTTGGCCCTGGCCCCACAGGGAGCTCGTCCCAAGCTTCATTTCGGCACACCGCTCCTGAGGATCTCGGCCCTGGCCCCACAAGGAGCTCCACCGAAGCTTCATTTCGGTACACCCCGGTAGAGGATCGTGGCCCTGGCCCCACAGGGAGCTTCACCGAAGCTTTATTTCGCCTTTTCGAGGATCGTGGCCCTGGCCCCACAGGGAGCTCCACCGAAGCTTCATTTCGGAACTTGTAGCTCCACTGAAGCTTCATTTCGGCACACCCCTCTTGAGGATCGTGGCCCTGGCGCCACAGGGAGCTCCTCCGAAGCTTCATTCTAGCCCGCATCTATCGAGGATCTTGGCCGTGGACCCACAGGGAGCTGCACCGAAGCTCGATTTCGGCACACCCATCTCGAGGATCGTGGCCCTGGCCCCACAGGCAGCTCCACCGAAGCTTCATTTCGGCACACCCCTCTCGAGGATCGTGGCCTTGGCCCCACAGGGAGCTCCACCGAAGCTTCATTTCGGTACACCCTCTCGAGGATCGTTGCCCTGGCCCCACATGGAGCTCCACCGAAGCTTCATTTCGGCACACCCCTCTCGAGGATCTCGGCCCTGGCCCCACAAGGAGCTCCACCGAAGCTTGATTTCGGCACACCCCTATTGAGGATCGCGGCCATGGCTCCGCAGGGAGCTCCGCCGAAGCTTTATTTCGCCTTTTCGAGGATCGTGGCCCTGGCCCCACAGGGAGCTCCACCGAAGCTTCATTTCGGAACACACACCTTTCGAGGATCTCGGCCCTGGCCCCACAGGGAGCTCCACCGATGCTTCATTTCGGCACATCCCTCTTGAGGATCGTGGCCCTGGCCCCACAGGGAGCTCCTCCGAAGCTTCATTTCGGCAAAACCCTTTCGAGGATCTTGGCCCTGGCCCCACAAGGAACGCCACCGAAGCTTCGTTTCGGCACACCCATCTTGAGGATCGTGCCCTTGGCCACACAGGGAGCTCCCTGGCCCATCAGGGAGCTCAACCGAAGCTCCATTTCGACACATCTCTCGAGGATCGTGGCCCTGGCCCTGCAGGGAGCTCCACCGAAGCTTGATTTCGGCACACCCCTCTCGAGGATCGTTGCCCTGGCCCCACAAGGAACGCCACCGAAACTTCATTTCGGCACACCCATCTTGAGGATCGTGGCCCTGGCCCAACAGGGAGCTCCACCGAAACTTCATTTCGGCACAACCCTCTCGAGGATCGTTGCCCTGGCCCCACATGGAGCTCCACCGAATCTTCATTTCGGTACACCCCTCGCGAGGATCGTGGCCTTGGTCCCGCAGGCAGCTCCACCGAAGCTTCATTTCGGCACACCCCTCTCGAGGACCGTGGCCCTGGCCCCACAGGGTGTTGGACCGACGCTTCATTTCAGCACACCCCTCTCGATGATCTTGGTCTTGGCTCCGCAGGGAGCTCCGCCGAAGCTTCATTTCGGCACACACCTCTGGAGTAGAGGTGTGCGCCGAAGCTTAATAGGATTGTAGTAGAGGTGGACCCACCACTAATAGGATTGTAGTATAGGTGGACCCACCACGAATAGGATTGTAGTAGAGCTGGATCCACCACTTCATAGGATTGTAGTAGAGGTGGATCCACCACTAATAGGATTGTAGTAGAGCTAGAGCCACCACTACTAGGATTGTAGTATAGGTGGATCCACCACTAATCGGATTGTAGTAGAGGTGGATCCACTACTAGTAGGATTGTAGTAGAGGTGGATACACCACTAATAGGATTGTAGTAGAGCTAGATCCACCACTACTAGGATTGTAGTATAGGTGGATCCACCACTAATCGGATTGTAGTAGAGGTGGATCCACCACCTAATATGATTGTAGTAGAGGTGGATCCACTACTAATGGGATTGTAGTAGAGGTGGATCCACCACTAATAGGATTGTAGTAGAGCTGGATCCACCAGTAATAGGTTTTATTTAGAACTGGATCCACCCGCAAGGATCTGATAGGATTCCGTAGATTCCCGAGCTTCGCTGGTGCAGACACGGCAAAATGGCATGGAGGAGGAGTCCACACCCTTAAGCGAGCAAATTCGCCAGCGGAGCAGGGAACGGAACCCCAGGTTGCTGGTTGCTGGTTGCTGGTTGCTGGGGGGGGGTCCGAACCGGCCAATGGGGCACAGACGCGCGGTTCCACCTTAGGGAAGAACGCGGGGAACGAGGTCCGGGACCATGGGGCACTCACGCGCGGTTGTTCCGTGTCGTTGTTATTGTTGTTGCTGTTGTTGTTGTTGCTAGTGTTGATCCTGCTATTCTCACTATGAGTATTATCGTTATCATTGTTATACCATCATTATTATTATGGCGGAGGAGGGGCAGGATGATTATGAGGAGGATGATGGGGGAGGAGGAGTAGTAGTAGTAGGAGGAGGAGGAGGAGGAGGAAGAGCAGGATGCTTATGAGGAGGAGGAGGAGGAGCAGGAGGAGAAGCAGGATGATTATGAGGAGGAGGAGGAGCAGGAGGAGGAGGAGGAGGAGGAGGAGGGTATTGTTATTATTCGTAGTAGCAATATTATTAATAACACTGTTGGCAATGCCAGTAGTACATTAATATCACTAGTGCTGATCGTCGTACCTACTACTGTTATTGTTGTAATACTGGTACGATCACTCTTATTTTCTTGAAATTATTTGTGCTACTAGTAGCATTGCCATTCTTATCATTATGAGGAGGAGGAGGCGGAGGAGGAGGAGGAGGAGGAGGATGAGGAGCGTGCACGCCTTGGCCCGCTGCCGCGGCATGCCGCGGAAGCCAGGCAGTGTCAGCTCCACCAGGGCCGCGGCGCGTACACCAGCACGCCCTCCTATGCGCTGGGCTAGGCCCGCCCGCGTGGGCCCAGGGGTGGAGGAGGGGCCCCCACCCGCTCGCGCCGAGACGAATCGCCGACGGACTATTTCTGGTAGCGTTCGGGTTTCGCGGGCCCTCAGCAGGCCCCGCCCTCGGGATGGTGTCGAGGGGTCCTGAGGTCACAGAGTATGCAGAATGGCGACGTGGGTCCAGGGTGGAGGCCCTGCGCCGCGTAGAAGGGTGCATCTAGGGCGAGGTGGACGGCTTTCTGAAAAGGCAGGGGGGCTTCTTTGAAGGGCTCGGAGGCTTCAAAGAGCCTTCTCGGACGGCAGGAGGGCTTCTGAGAAGCTCTCCGCCGCCCTCCTCGTCGCACCCCGTTGGGCGCGCCGCCAAGAGGAAGAGTGAGGACCTGGAGGAGGAAGGAGAGAGATTGATTTAGATTTCTAAGAAGTTCTGGGGTGGGGCACAATCCTCTCCCAGACGATGGTGGCGGCCCGTCTTCCCATCTCAACATCAGTCATATGGGGATGCGCCTTGAAGACGGGACAGGGTGGGCGCGAGTGGGCGTCATAGCCGGCTCAAACTTAAAGAGGGATCATAACCTCATCGTTGGCCGTTCTCATACGCATTCATTTCATGCGTAGCAGCATGCTCTCTACCACCAGACTGGCCGACTAGCCATGAAAGGGCAGCTTTTTGCCCATATCCCGCGGAACCATCCAAGACAGCCCTACTCAGACCCCATCCCCAAATCTGACCCTCGCTCTTAGTATGACGCATGGAGTGCCGTGACCCTGCCGCCGCTTCGCACGGTTCCTCGTCTGCTCGGGGAGGGAGGTGGTCTTGGCGGCTATACCATTCAGGCGAGCAGTTGCACACCGCTGATGGCAGCATGCTTCTCGCTCTCCTCCATCATCCTCCATTCCATCATCTACCCTCTGAGCTTACAACACGGCCAGGGCCCGCAGGGGGCCGGCCGAATCTGATCGCTTCGCTCATTCCGCCGGCCCGAACAGTGTCGTCGTTGCCGCGTGCCCGTCTGGCTTTCCGGGGCACTCTTGGGACCAAACCTGGTTGTGGACCAGCTAGGTCGTTGGGAGACCCCTTGGGGTCTCTTCGGAGGAATCTCGGAGGCTTCTTGGCGGCAGTAGACCATATACTTCTTTGAGAGGCTTCGTGTGGCTTTCGCTGTATTTGTTTGACCTCCTGGGGCCTCTTGCGGGTCTCTCGTGGTAGCTTTTTGGGCATCCAGGGGCCTCTTGGATGCTTCTTTGGAGCCTGCTGGCAGTCTCGTGCGCCATCTTTCGGGGCAGGCTCGACATGTGAGTTTGGATTCCACCTCTTTGGGCTCGTGGGAGGCCTCTTGGGCCGTCTTGGAGTCCTCTTGGGGTCCTCCTGGGCCGTCTGGGGGCCGTCCTGGGAGCCTCTTGGGCTGACTTGGGGCCGTCTTGGCGGCCACTTGACCCGCCCTAGACGATCGGAAACCCGCGGAGGCGGCAACGCCAAAATATCAAAACAAAAATTTAGGAGCCTAAGCAGCATCAGCGAATCTTGCCTCTTGGGGCCCTCTCCGAGTCTTGTTGGAGCCCTCTTGGGCCGTCCTGGGCGCCTCTCGGGCCGTCTTGAAGCCACCCTGGGCCGTCTTGGAGTACTCTTGGCCCGAGGCCGGGGGGCCTGCCACCCCTTTGACGCCTCCTGGGGCGCACGGGGCGCCCCCCGGGCCCGCGCTCACGAGCTCCAGCGTCCGTGGCCCCGACCCGTCTGGGACCGTGCCCGGGCTCTGTTCGTCCCAGGACTCCCGGGGGCCGCCACGCGCGCGCGCGCGAGCTTGAGATGCTGTGAACCTCTTGCTCGAGGGGCCGGCGAGTTGCTGTCGTGTCCGTGGGGCCGGCGAGTTGCTGTCGTGTCGCTCCGTGCAGTATCGGTAGCTCTTTAGGCGTAGGTCCGAGTTGGGCAAGGCCTGGGCGGGCCCCTGGCCTCGAGAGGCAAAAGCCATGCCGAGGCTCGCCGTCGCGGTGGCAGCGCGCGTGTCGCTGGGCCTGGCGGCCCTCGAGCAGGCGGCTGGCTGGGTGCGGTCCTTCCAGGCCGGCTACGTGGATGCCAGCGGCAGGTACGCGGGGGGCAGCGAGGTCATGCACCTGGTGCCCCACCGGGGGGTCCTGTACGCGGGGGTGGGTTACTGGGAGGACCAGCGGTTCCTGGAGGGCCAGTCTGGTGCCCAGGTGCTCCGCCTGGACTCTCCAGACGCGGCCTGGCAGGTGGACCTGGAGTGCGGCCCCCAGCACATGAAGCTCAACATCCTCAAGGAGGTCACGTTCACCCGCGGCGCGGCGGGGCAGCCGCTGGCCCAGCCGGTCACTCTGCTGCTGGCCGCCGCGGGGCGGAGCAGAGGCCCGGGCACCCCCACGTTCAGCGTCTCCGTCTTCACGCGGAACGACGGGGACGGGAACTGGACGGAGACGACCGTCGCCCAGGGCAGCCCCCGCCTGGGGCGTTGGCTGCCCAGGGCGCTGGAGGTCCACAGGGACAGCGTCACTGGGCTCGAGCGCGTGTTTCTGTGCATCGGCAACCCGGGGGTCCTGGCCGGCGTGTACGACCCGAGCAAGCCTGGACAGATCAGGTGGGACGCTGCGCCGGAGATCTCTGGACTGCGCACGCGACCGCTGGCGATGGCAGTTGCGGGTGGGCGGCTATACTTCTCGGCGGGCTACCAGATCTATCAGCGCATCGACGGGGTAAGGCCCTCTTGGCGCGTGGCCTTGGCAATGAACTCCTCCTCGGTCAACCCAGACTCGGGCGGCATCCGAGGGCTGACTCGGGTAGCAACCCCAGGCGCCCCAGGGAGCCACAAGTACAGTAAGGGCGTGATGAAGCCTCGTCTCCCACCCCCCTTCTCCTTCCCTTACTCTGCCTTTCCCTTCCCCATGGGGGGCGCAAGCCGCACTGTTCCATGGTGTTTCAGGAGGGGAAAGAACACACAGACACAATCCATCGTCGATTCCCAGGAAGATATGCGAAAATGTGGGAAGTGGGGGGAAGACAGAAACCCAGAAAATATGCGAAAACATGGGGAATCCTGTGATGTGTGTGCGTGTGTGTTCAATTCTGTCAGCCCTGAGGCGCGCCCAACGGCTCCTGCAGCGATTCGCTCCTCTTCATGTGGGCGCCCAGTGGCCGCTCGCGTGGGTGCATCTACCGCGTGAGCTCGTGCGAGCTCGCCCCCGACGGGGAGCGGCAGCCTGCGCTCGTCCTGGAGGCGTGCGCCGCCCCGCTCATGAGCGAGGCCCTGGGCACGGCGGTGGGATACACACTCGGGGCATACAACCGGATGTTTGCGGTGAGGGACCCTGCCACCGGGGAGCCAGTGCACCTCGTCGGCCTGGAGGGGAGGGTGCCGGGAGCCACGGAGGGGCTGCAGTGGAACGGCTACTATGCGGGCGCCATGTTCGCGCTGCGCTGGAGCTCAGGAGCCAGGTATAGCGTGAACGAGGTGAACGGCCGCTATCGGCCTGGAGGCCCTCCGCTGGAGGCCGTGCGGGCCTTCGCGATGTCACCCTTCCCAGCAGAGAGCGCGAGCGGGCCCGTCCTGTACACTGCTGGTTTCGATACAAATTTCAATCCCGCGACGAACATGGCGTGGATTTTCAAGGCCAACTTGTCGCTTGCGCTAGCCCCACCGCAGGAATTTGACAGCTGGGGGCTGAGCGACGGGGTCTCCCCAGGACTGGCCGTGCCCTCAGTGGTAGCCAGTGGCGTCGTCACGGCGCCCGCGTCTCCCAGCGTCTACGTGTGATCAGTCTGGAACTCTCAGGCGCGTGAAATATGCACGCACACGCACACAGTTTGCCCTCGACGCCAGTCAGCCGCGCCGTCGCCGTGGGCGCCCGTTTCGTCAGCGTCCACGGCGGGCGCCGCACAGCCGCCCAATAGCGGCAGCTGCAGCAGCGCGTTGGCGGTGGTGCACGGCGCGCCAGCGGGCGCGAGCCGCCGAACGTTGTGTCCTCTCTTTCCCGTGCCTTGCCTTTCTGCGCCTATCCCCCTGTCCCCCTTTCGCCTCCTCCCGAGTTCCCTTCCCCTCCGCCTTCTGGTCCCTTCCTTCGCTTTCGCTCTCATTCCCTCCCTTCCATCCCTCTCCTCGCTTCGGGCTGGCCCTTCTTCCCTGTTCCCCACTCTTCCCCTTGCCCTTGCCCTCCCTTTCCGTTCCTTTCTTCCTTGCCCTGCCCCTTCCCTCCCGATCTTTGCCCTACGGCACAGATCCCAGTAAGTATTTCGAATCCTCAGCTGGACCAACTGGCGGTCGAGAGGTCTGGCGTCCTCTCTCACCCCTTCCCATGTCATCCCTCTCCTCTCCCCCCCGTCCCCCTCGTCGCTCCCATCCCAATCCTCAGAACTCTGATGTCGTGGTTTTTCACAACGTGGACCCCCGGAGGTCTAGACCCCTTCCTGGGGGACCAGCTTTTCATCCCGAGTCGCGGTTTGACGGTCCCGGGGCCTGGTGAGGGCCCTTGGAGGCCGAAGGTGGTCAAAACCTTCCGTCGTGATTTTTTCACAGTGCGAGGATGGCGGGGCTCTTGCCTTCCTCCCCCCCCTCCGCCCAGGATTCGAGCACAACATCCAGAGGGCTGGCTGCCGCGGCTTCCCGCCTGGGAGGTGGGGGCACGCGGGGGCGCCGCGGGGGTCCGGAAGGGTCCAGTAGACCGCAAGAGCCCGTGGTGGGCGAGCGTCGGACGCTCTCGAGGCCCGTCGTGGCGTTTTTTTATTTCTTGTCTTTTGGCGAAGCACCCGTCAGCAGGCAGGAGGTCAGAGGAGCAAACATATACCGATGCCACGGCTCGTCCTAGGGCGGCCTCGTCGCCACGGATGGATGCCCCTCGAAGTTCTGGTCGGAACGCACGCCGGGCGAGGTCGGGGGATTACAGTAGGAGCTCGACGACAAGCAGCCTTCCACCAGGAACCCAACCCTGAGACCCAAGGACGTCCATGGACATTTGGTGTGGGAACGTCACGCCCTCCACAGCAAAACCCTCGAAACCCAAGACACCCAGGGCACGCTGGAGGCAAGCAGGGTGCTTCTTGGCATGGGTTTCCACTGTATCGGCAGATCGGAAACTTGTCGTCCCGTCCAGGGAAGGGCGGGAGCGGTGTGGTGGCAGCACGGGCGGCAACAGCGGTGGCAGCAGGCATGACAGCAGCGCAGCGAAGCTGGTCGGCGATGCAGGGCGGAGCCTCGCGGGCGCATCGGCCTCCGGCCCGTGGCTGCCCACCCGCCCAAGCTGCCAGCGGCCCGCGGTCTTTGTCGGCCTTGTGATACCCCCGAAGGTGGCGCTGGAGCTGTGCCGCAGTCTGGCGATGGGCGCGCTCTTCTGCGACGTAGCATGTGGAGGATGCGTCTCAGCGCCGAGGCAGAAACAGCACCGCGGATATCCTTCCACGTTTGCCGCGTGCACTATCGGGCTGCCCCACGCTTTCCTACCCCTTGTTGATTGCACGCTCTCTTGCCCCCCATGCTGCTGATGCTTCTCCTCTCTCGTCTTTCTCACCCGTCTCTAGTGGCCTTCCGCCCGTTCCGCTACCGTGGCTTTTTGGTCGTGGGCAACAGGCCGTTCGTAGGCCTGTTGGGATCTCTTGTGAAGCCTCTTGAGGGCCTCTTGGAGGTCTCATTCGGGCGTCTTGGTGGCATCTGGGAGAGCTCACCTGTACCCCGTGTCCGTGATCTATGTCTTGTCTTGCTCATCTTCCCCGGGTCATAATACCTGTCGTTTCGTCTGCTCTGCGGGCGGCGCTGCTGCATCGGGCAACGAGACTTGTGGGCACGAACGCGGATCCCGGCCAGGCCCATCCTGGGCCCATGATCAGTGCATGTGCCCCCCTGGCCAAGCCTGGAGGGCGTATGCGCCGAGATTGGGCTCTGGAACGCCTGGGCCAGAATCGGTGCGCAGGCGCATGGTCTTCGTCCCGATGGCCAGGCGCTCTTTGCTGCAGCCGCATGTCAGCCGATCCCTTCTGAAGTTCCCAGCGCCCCGCACGGTATTTGTCAGGAGGGAAAGAAAAACACAGACACAATGAATCGTCGACCCCCTGGAAAATATGGGAAAATGTGGGAAGTGGGGGGGAAGACGAAAACCCAGAAGACGTGGGAAAATGTAGGGAATCCTGTCATTCGTGTCTGTCTAGTTGTGTGTCCCAGGGCCCCTTCGATTTGACTCCTGGGTCGGACTGGTGGAGCCGCTGAGATGGCAGAGCCGATGCGGGGGAGCCGCGCCCTGGGAGGGAGCGAGGCGGGGCGCGGCGCCTGGTCAGCGTCAGCGCGCTCGCAGCCTTGCTGCACCGCGTGTCGGGCACAGCCAGGACCCTGGTCAAGGGGAGCCGATGAAAGCGATTGGGCCCCGAAGCCCAAAATATGGATTGGAATCGCTAGACCAGGTCTGCCGCAGCTGGTGTGTTTTTCGGGTGACGGCAGTGCCGGTGAGCGGAGCGGGGCGGGGTCGGCGTCCCCCAGTTTCAAGCACTAAACTCAGGAGGGGAAAAAACACACAGACACAATTAATCGTCGACTCCCAGGAAAATATGGGAAAATATGGGAATTGGGCTGGAAGACAAAAATCCAGAAAATATGGGAAAATATGGGGAATCCTTTTATTTGTGTGTATTTATTTGTGTGCCCCAGGGCCCCTTCATAAACCAGGTCCCCAGTTCTGCCAACGCCCGAATGTGGTCTCAGCTGGCAGAGCATGATCGACGCCGCGGCGTGGGGTCCCTGGGACTTCTGCTCGTTGCTCGCGCGTCTTGCACGTGTTCTGTTCGAGCATTCGCGTTTCGATCGTGTCGATGGTGTTGAGTTCCACCGCGGCCTTCTTGTGACACGTTGCGTGCTCCGTTGCTTTGTAGGATTCGACACACTTCGCCATCAAGCGCGGCGCTGCCCCCGTTGAGAAGGGAACGCCCGAGCCTGGAAGCCTTCACATGGGATCCGCGGTACTGCTGGCCGGGCCGTGCTGCCGATGGCACTGTTAGCCAAACCATGCTCTTTTCTTTTCGCCGTCGTCGCCATCCTTCTCGCTAACCTCTTCTCATTCCTTCATCCTCGTCCTTCTCTTTGTTCTCCTTGTCTTCCTCCCTCCAATTTCGTGAGCCACTGGGCGGTCCAGCGGAGTACGGTCTTACGCGGATCCACAGGGGGCCTCGCCTCCCAGGACGGCGGCAACCGTCCACTCTTCGTCAGTTTCGTGAGCCCCAGGAGGGTCCACCGGAGGGGCGTCCCGAGCCGGCTCCTCAAATGGTGTTGCCCGCCGTCTCGCGTGGGTCTGGTACGTCCCCATCAGCACCAGCGCTATGATTACGGCGTGGGCCGCGGTCACGGTTTGGTTCGCCCTCCCGCTGCTGTTTCTCTTCGTATGTGAGCTTTTGTGGAGCTCGGGTGCCTAATGCCAGCGCTGGCCGTGGAAACATTTTCCTTCTCCACTCCCTCTACTCCCTTCCTCACTCCCTCTGCTCCTCCTCACCTCCTCCTCTTCCACCTCCTCCCATTCCTCCCCCTCGCTTCCACTCCCACTCCTTCCCCTCACTCTTCCTTCTCTTCGTTCTCCTCTTCCTCTTCCCCCGCCCCGAAGAGTTCCCTTAAAAAAGCCCCATGAGTTTCTCAACAAACGTATGACGAGGAGACAGCTTGGCCAAGTTATTTGCCTGTGTGCTCTCGCAGCTTCTGGGGAAGGAAGAGGGGGGGGAATCAGGAGGAGGAGGATGAGGAGCCGAAGGAGGAGGAGGAGGAAACGAAGAAGGAGGAGGAGGAGGAGGAGGAGAACGAGGCGGAGGAGGAGCAGGAGCAGGAGGAGGAGTGGAGTAGTAGCAGGCGGAGGAGGAGGAGGAGGAAGAGGAGGAGGAGGAGGATACCTTGTGGGAGCCTTTTCGGGGCTGTGGGAGCCTCCTCAGGCTTCATGGCGACCTCTTGCCGCCATCCGAGACCGTCTTGGGCTCTTGGGGCCACTTTAGGTCAGACGGATGATCTTCGCCATCTTAGAGGGCATCTTGGACCGTCTTGGTGGCACTGTAGCGCCATCCTGAACATCTGGGAGGCGAGCCTGGTCGTCTCTTGGAGAATTCTAGGAGCCCTCTGGGGGCTCTCTTGGGGCGTTCGGACGATTTCAGGCCACCTCTTGGACTATCTGGTGGCCCACGACCCATACCGCCAACGTGCCTTGGTAGGATACTGTTGGGGACCTTTGAGAATCCTCTTGGAGCTCTCACTGGGCTCTCTTAGAGGCTTCTTGGAGCTCTCTCTGGGCTCTCTGTGAGTCTCAAAAGGCTTGAAGAGTGGCACCAAGTGGGCTCCACGCGCAACAATGCCATACCAAAGGTTCTGGTATGAGACTGTTGATTATGTGGGGGTTCTCATGGGGGCTCTCTTTGGGCGCTCAGGCGATTTCAGGCCCCTCTTGCATTATCAAAGACGCCTACGGCGAATCACCGCCGCCCCCTGCCCCTCTGGAAGCGCCTCTGTGGCCGACAGCTGGGCCAGAGCTTGGCCAAGCTATCGGGCCAGTTGTTCCCCGAGTCGGTTTGGAAAGGCTTCGGGCAACGCGTGGGGGAGGAAGAAAAGGAGGAGTGGGAGGATGAGGAAAAAAGAGGAGGAGGCTTCTTGGGCGCCTCTTGGGGCACTCTTGGGGCCTCCTGGGAGCTTTCTGGGGGCCTCTTGGAGGGTTTTGGGGGACCTTTGGGGGCTTCTTGGGGGCCTCTTTGGCCGTCTTAGGACGTTCCTGGCTTGTCTGACGCCGTCGGACGCCATTTGGGGGGCCT